AAAGTGATCACATAGTGGTAGACTGTAGATGTAATTAATGATAAAGTGGTCACGTAGTGGTAGATGTAATGAACGATAAAGTGATCACGTAGTGGTAGATGTAATGAACGATTAAGTGGTCACGTAGTGGTAGATGTAATGAACGATTAAGTGGTCACGTAGTGGTAGATGTAATGAACGATAAAGTGATCACATAGTGGTAGATGTAATGAACGATTAAGTGGTCACGTAGTGGTAGATGTAATGAACGATAAAGTGATCACGTAGTGGTAGATGTAATGAACGATAAAGTGATGACGTAGTGGTTGGTACAATGTACTCATGATCTGTAGTCCTAATACATCTTGATATTCATTTCTTTTTTTTTCTTTGATTTGAGCATACACTTTTCTGGTAGATCATAGCCTGCCCTCTAGTGGCAGGATAAAAACAAAATTGTGATTATCAATGATGATAGAGGGTGCTATTTATGTTGCTACCACCATGAACAAATACACTTTAACAATCTGTGACCAGATACAAAGACTGGTTAGAAAAATCCAAGATGGATGAAATGGATGAAGAAGAGGAGGAAGAGAAAGAAAAAAAAACTAGAAAACACAAAGGAGGAAAATGGAAAGGTCAGTGTTGTGTCAAAGGTCAAAATCATATCAACTCAATTTATAACATTATCACACGAAGCCTGAAATGCAGAATATGAGAGAATTAAAGTTTGTTCTGTAGCATCATGCATGTTGAATTCTGATTAATTTTGGTGCTCACTGTCTAACTTGAAATTACACTATTATCGTAACTACAAAGTACATATACATGAATCCATTTAAATATTGATCATGACCAGGGCTCACAGCCATCATAGTTTATTGATCCAAACAAATATACACTTTGATCACTCCCAACACATAATTTAGGTAATTGTTCATATTTACTAGTTTGCTTGTAAATTTGCAACTGGCTTCTAGCTGATTACTAGACTTGCATAGTCTCTTGTTTATTTTTTGGTGTTATTTCAATAAAATAAAATATGGAAATGTGTAAATGGCAAAAGCCAGGTTAATGAATTGCTCATTAATATTATTAGCAAAGGAACCTTTGCAAGGGCCTTATGTCTTTTGCTTATTTCACAGTAACCTGGCTTTCGCTATTTATACACTACCATATTTTATGAGTCCCCGTTCGAACGCAGTCCGAAAACGGGGACTTATGTTTTGACCTCCGTGTGTCTGCGTGCGTGCGTCTGTGCGTGCGTCCGGACCTGTATCTTAGAAATGCCTGGACCAATCACAATCAAACTTTACACATACATCATACATGATATTATACATATGCACGTCAATTTGATAGATTTTGTTCAAACTTGGTATATACATTAGACATTATAGGACCTTGATGCACATTTTGTTTCATGGTCTGATTCAAGATGGCCGAATGGCGGCCATTTTTGTGCTAAAAAATCCTAAAAATCAACCATTTCTCGGCTGTTTACAGATGGATTATGGGTTCCTGATGCTTGTCATTTTATTTTTCAGATTGGATTGTTTTCATGATTGGACTTCTAGAGTCGTATCTCTTAAATGCTTTGACTGATTATATTCAAATTTTATATATTCATTATACATCGTTATATATATACATGTATTCAAAATGGCTGATTTTGAATGCTATTCCAGAGCAATATCTCTCAATATGGTCAAGTACTTGTTTGACGATCAGATACGAATGTCAATCATTTTAATGTTAAAAAATCATATTCCTGACATGGTTATATTCCAGCTATATTACTATAAACAAAACTATATATCTTAAATTTAATAACTAACGGGGACTGTGCCATGCATGGCTTGTTTATATGCAAGTCTAGCAGATCCCTAAAAACTTGTAGCTATCAATATGTGAACATTTATTTTTTTAGAGCCCTCTTTATGTACATGTGCAGTAATGACAAGACTGTCACCTAAAATTT